GCCAGAGAGGGAAACAAGTATGAGGCGCAGAGGAGCGTGTGAACCTGTGCAAACACCAGGCACTTAATAAGTGGCCACTTCCCCGGGAAGGGGGCCAAAAGCACAGGAGGAACAGGAAGGGGCAGGGGAGAGGCGAGGAGGCGGTCCAGGTACATACAGCAGGTGCTTCCTACACGCTGCAGGCAGGCGGGCAGCCAGAGGGAGGCCAGGAGGAGGAGCGGAGTCTGAGGGTGGAGGCCTCCTGTGGATGTCCCTCCCCCATCCCGGCCCAGCCCCCCCTTCGCGCCCAGCCCCCCCCAGCTGCCCGCCCGGAGCCAGGACAGGGGGCACAGGCTATCCTGGGCCTGGCACAGCCCCTGGGCGGAGGGGGCTGCCCAGCCCTTGTCGGCTGTGTCTGGGGGGACAGGGGTTGGGGCACCTCCTGATCTCTGTCTCTCAGTCCCTGGTATCTCCGCATCTCTGAGTCCTGCAGTCTCCCCATCTCTGATTCTTTGCATCTCCCTGTCTCTGAGACTCTGCCTCTCCCTGTCTCTGGGTCTCTCTGCATCTCCCTGTCTCTGAGACCCTGCCTCTCCCTGTCTCTGGGTCTCTCCCCATCTCCCTGTCTCTGGGTCTCTCCCCATCTCCCTGTCTCTGGGTCTCTCCCTCCATCTCCCTGTCTCTGGGTCTCTTTCCTGTCTCTGAGACCCTGCCTCTCCCTGTCTCTGGGTCTCTTCCTGCATCTCCCTGTCTCTGGGTCTCTCCCCATCTCCCTGTCTCTGGGTCTCTCCCCATCTCCCTGTCTCTGGGTCTCTCCCCATCTCCCTGTCTCTGGGTCTCCCTCATCTCCCTGTCTCTGGGTCTCTCTGTGTCTCCCTGTCTCTGGGTCTCTCCCTGCATCTCTGTCTCTGCCCCCATCTCTCAGTCGGTCTCTAGGCCTCTGTTTCTTGCTATCTCTGAGGGAGGATCCCCCAATCCAAACCCTGGACCCCCCCCCCCCCCGGTCCCCTCCCCAGGATGAGGACAGGTGCCCAGCCAGAGGCAGAGAAGGAGGAAGAAGGAGGCAGAGGAGTGACAGTGGTGAGGACAGAACAGCTTTATTCATGGAAACTGCAGTGGAGGGCCCCACAGGCCTCGGAGGAGAGCTGGAGAGGGAGCCGGAGGGGGAGCCGGAGGGGGAGCCGGAGGGGGAGAGGAGGAGGAGAGGAGGGGGAGAGGAGGAGGAGAAGGAGGGGGAGAGGCGGATGGCGAGGAGGGGGAGCTGGAGGGGGAGCCGGAGGGGGGCTGGAGGGGGGCTGGAGGGGGAGCTGGAGCAGTGGGGAGAGAGGTGGGTCTGGAAGATGAGAGAGAGAGATGAGCAAGGAGGAGAGAGGAGGTATGGAAGATGAGAGAGAGAGGAGAGAGAGAGAGGAGAGAGAGAGATGAGAGAGAGGAGGTGAGAGAGAGAGAGAGAGAGAAAGAGAAGAAAGAGAGAGAGAGAGAGAGAGAGAGAGAGCTGAGCGACACAGAAGAGAGGAGAAGGGAGGCAGAGAGACACAGGGGAGAAGGGAGAGAGCGGGCGGGAAGTCAGATGGAGAGGGCGGTGGGAGGGACAGGGTCTGAGAGTGAGAGTGAGAGAGAGAGAGGAGAGAGAGGAGAGAGGAGAGAGAGAGAGAGAGATGGGAGGGAGAGAGGAACAAAGCAGGTAGAGAGGCGGAGGCCGGTGTGGGAGGAGAGGATGGGAGAGGATGGGAGAGCGGAGGGACAGAGGCAGAGGTTTGCAAAGGGGGCGGAGGGAAATGGAGAGCAGGAGGGGCAGAGATGGGAAGAGACCCAGAAAGACAGAGGGAGAGGGAGAGAGGCGGAGAGAGAGGCAGAGAAACAGAGGGAACGGGACAGAGCGGCGGAGAGAGAGACAGAGACAGGAGAGGTTGAGAGGAGCGGAGAGGGAGGGAGCAGGGAGCCGGAGAGGCCGAGGCGGACGCCCCTCTCACCTGGCGCTGGCGGCGGCGGAGCCTGGGGCCGCGCGGCGGGATTTAAGGGGCGCCCGGGGGGCGGGGCCGCGCCCCCCCACCCCCCACTCCCCACTCCCCACTCCCCGCCTTATCGGGCCGCGGGGCCCGAGCTAAATCCGGCCTCAGCTGTCAGCGCCTCGGGGCGCCGGCCGGGAAGGGACAGCTGCGCCCTCGCACCTGCCGCCCCCGCGCCCCTCCCCGCCCCCTGCCCCTGCCCGGCGGGGCGGGGGCCTGCGGGCTGTGTGGCCCCAAGGGCAGCCGGGCCCCCGGGCAGGTACAACGGAGTCAGGGTCCCAGCACCCCAGGAGGGAACAGTAACCCCCATCCGTGCGCAGCGGGGGTCAGAGGGCGAGGGGGCCGGGGCCTGCAGGACCCTCTGCCCCCCTCCCCTCCCCTCCCCTCCCCTCTCCGGCCACCGCCCGCCCGGCTTCTCGGACCATATTAGGCGGCAGCTGCGAGGCACCTGGGCGGCTGCTCAGCCCGGAATAGAAACACTTGGGGTGCCCGCCAGGCTGTCTGGGGCCGTGGGCCAGGGGCAGGGGCAGGCCCAGCGGGAGGAGGGGGCCCCGGGGGCCAGGGAGGCGCGGAGACAGGGAGAAGGTTCCAGAAAGAGGGGCGCAGGGGGGGAGCCCGCTGGGGAGCCGGAGGGAGGGACCCGCAGGAGCCGCCCAGGGTGGGCTGGGGGCCCCAGGTTCGGGGTGTCTGAGCCTCCAGCCGTGTTTCCCTCCTGCGCTGTTTGACTTCTTTTTTTAATAATATATTTTATTGATTTTTTACACAGAGGAAGGGAGAGGGCTAGAGAGTTAGAAACATTGATGAGAGAGAAACATCGATCAGCTGCCTCCTGCATGCTCCCCCCCCCCCCCCCCACTGGGGAAATGCCCTCAATCAAGGTACATGCTCTTGACCGGAATCGAACCCAGGACCTCTCAGTCCACAGGCTGACGCTCCATCCACTGAGCCAAACCGGTTTCAGCAGACTTCTGACTTTTTAAAAATATATTGTTATGGCCGAAACCGGTTTGGCTCAGTGGATAGAGCGTCGGCTTGGGGACTGAAGGGTCCCGGGTTCGATTCCAGTCAGGGGCATGTACCTTGGTTGCGGGCATATCCCCAGTAGGGGGTGTGCAAGAGGCAGCTGATCGATGACTCTCTCATCAATGTTTCTAACTCTCTCTCTCCCTTCCTATCTGTACAAAATCAATAAAATATATAAAAAAATAAAATAAAATAAAAATATATTGTTATGGACTTCAGAGAGGAAGGGAGAGGGAGACAGAAACACCAATTATGAGAGAATCACTGATTGGCTGCCTCCCGCACGCCCCACACCTGGGCGGAGCCAGAACCCGGGGCCTGCCTCCCAGGTCACAGGTTGGCGATCAAACCACTGCACCACACTGTCCGGGCTGACTTCTGACTTTACCAGTTGCCCTTTGACCTCTGGGAGTCTTGGAACCCAGAACGCTTCAAGCCCCAGCCCCCACCCCCCCGCCAGCTTTTCGGGGTGACAGCTGCCCTGCCTGCTGCGGGGGGGGGGGGCAGCTGCTTGAATGACTTGCTTTTGGGGGTGATGCCCAGCTTAAGGCTGAGTGGGGACACCCCTCCCTGTGCCCCTGGTCCCCAATCCTGTTTAGCCCTGTGGGGTCCCCGCTGCTGCCCAGCCCCCCTTCCCCCCCACCCCTGCCTGCCTCCCAGGTCAGATCCTTGGCCCCCGGAGCCATCTCCCCTGTCACCCAGCTGTCAGGGCCCTTCAGCCACTGAGCACATTGTGTTCCCAAACCACTGCTCCTCCCCCTCCTCCCTGCCTCAGGTCACACCCCTGGGCACCTGCTCCCCCCTCCCCCCCCCCCCAGCCTGCCAGGCCCAGACTGTCCTCTGTCCCCTGGTCTCTGTCCCAGAGCCGCCTCCAGGGCCTCCGTCAGCCCAGCAGCTCCCGAGGGTCTCTCTGCACCCAGGACGGACCAGCCCCCCTGCCCACAGGCCCCCCCCCCACACACCCTCTTCCCGCCGCCCTCGGAGGCTGGTCTGGCCTGGCCAGCAGCCACCTCATCGCTCATCACCTCCTCAGATAACACGGGGCAGACGGCTCTGCTCAGCCTCCCGGGTTCCCAATTCTGGAAGGCTCCCTCCTCCCCTCCCCGGCCCTCCGGACACCCTCAGCCGGGCCTCCCAGGTCCCCCCACCTCCCTGGGACCCCAAAGTGTCCCGCGGGACCCTGTTAACCCACCCCCACCCCCATGGGACAGGGGAGGTCTCCCGTCCCGCTGCTTTCTCCTCCCACCTGGCTCACAGCCCCACCCAGAGCCGGGCTCAGGGGCGCCGGAAAGCAGACCTAACGGGGCGCTGGGGGGGGGGAGGGGAGGACAGGGACCAGGGGCCTCGGGGAGCGGGTCCTTGCTCTGTTTAAAACGGCCGCCTCCTGGGCACGGCTTCCCCATGTGTCAGCCCTCCCCCTGCCCCGCCTGCCCCTGGGCCTTTGCACTGGCTCCCCTCCCTGCGGGCGCTGGTCCTCCACCTGCCCGTGGCTCCCTCCTCCCGGAGCGCTCAGCGGCGCCCCTGAGGCCACGCCCCCTGAGGCCACGCCCTCCGGATGCCCACGCCGCTGCATCCTTTGCCAAGGTTGTTCTTCCCAGCATCCCTCCACACGGCAACGCAGACTTCACCACTGTGGCGGCCACATGTGCTCCAGGAGTACAGAGTGGGCGGGGCCGGCGCCGTTTTTAAATACACTTTATTGATTTTTCACAGAGAGTCAGGGAGAGGGAGAGAGAGCTGGAAACATCGACGAGAGAGGAACGTCCGTCAGCCGCCTCCTGCACGCCCCCCGCCGGGGATGTGCCCGCAACTGAGGTACACGCCCTTGACCGGAATCGAACCCGGGACCCTTCGGTCCGCAGGCCGACGCTCTATCCGCTGAGCCAAGCCGGCTGGGGCGGGAGGGCTGTTCCTGGCCTGTGGGGCCCTCACTCCCTGGCCCTCCGTCCGTAAAGCCGTGGTGAGGGCGGGCGCTGGGCCCCGCCTCGTCTCTCTCGGCCTCCCCTCCTGCCTGCCTCCCCGCTGCCCGGGACCCTGGTGCTTCTCAGAGGCCGCAGGAGCCTCTCCGCCTCAAGGTCACCCTCAAGGTCAGCGCCGAGCGGCCGGACTCCCGCTGCAGCCTCCACTGCCCTCGCCCTGAGGCCGCACCTGCTCCCAGTTCCTGGGGATGGGGGCGGGGCGGGGCCCACGGAGCAGAAAATGAAGGGTCCTCCCTCCCTCCAGCTGATGGACGGAAACCCCACCTGCGGCCAGACATCCCTGAGCTCTGAACCACCACCGGCCCCTGCCAAACACCCTGAGCTCCCATCCCGAAGTGCCTAGGCCCCTAAACACCCATCAGCGTGTCCCCTCTCCTCCCCTTACAGTGCCTGTGCCCCGCCCTCGCTCTCTTCCGCTCTCTCTGGAAGCAGCGGCAGTGGTTCTCCCTCCAATAAAGCCTGTGTCCTGCCATCCCGGTTTCTGGCCCGTTTCATCTTTCAGAAATGAGTCTGAATGAACCCTGCCTTCTGGGGTGGGGGTGCCCCACAGGCGGGAGGAGGCAGGCCGGGGCTGGGACTCACAGGTCACGGGGGGTGGGGGGGGGGCAGGCAGGGCTGGGAATGGCAGTGCCCCTGGGAAAGGAACAAATCTGATTTACTGAGGCAGAGCAGCTGGGGGCTGGGGCGAGGGGCGGGGCCTCCGCAGGCCCAGGAAGGGAGGCTGTGCGGTCGGTCGGTCGGTTGGTCGGTCAGTTGGTTGGTCGGTCGGTCGGTCGGTTGGGAGGCTCCTGTGGAGCTGGATGCTGGAGGGACTCGGGGGGCGCGAGCAGGGACAGCAGGGCGGTGGGGGCTCCCCGGGGGGCTCAGTCGAGCTGCAGCCAGCTGTTCTTCTCCTCCACCTCCTTGGTCACCACCACCAGCACCTGGCACAGGCCCGGGGCCAGCACAGCCCCCAGGAAGGACCTGGCGGGGAGAGGGGAGGCTGAGGCGGGGCCCGCCCCGGCGCGGCCTCCTGGGGGCGGGCGGGGCGGGGGGTCCCCATCCCCCTCACCTGAGCCCGTCCTCGTCCCCCAGCGCCTCCGGGGCCCGCAGCTTGGAGTCCAGGTTGTAGTAGACGCCGTCCACCTGGCGCAGGGCCACCCAGTGCCGCCGGCGCAGCGGCAGAGTCAGCAGCCCCAGCGACACCGGCGCCGGCAGGTTCAGGATCAGCCCCAGCACATGGGGCAGCGCCAGCTGGGTCAGGGGCCTGCGGGGCGGGGGGGGGGGGGGGGGGGCACATCAGGGCTCCCGCACCAGCCCGCCGGCTCCTTCTCCCTCCACCACTCATCCATCCCCTGCCACCCACTTCCCCGTCCACCCGCCCCCTGCCCACCCGTCTGACCCCCGTCAACCCCTCCCACCCCTCCACCCCCCACCCCCCCAGCCCCCAACCACCACCCACCACCACCTCCACCTCCGCCCAACGCTCCATCCCCTCTCCATGCCTCTGCCATCGACCTGCCGGTTACCCAGCCACCTCCCCCTCCTGCCCTCCCCCACCCGAAGCTCCCAGCCACCAGCCACCCCTCCCCGTCCAGCCACCCATCATCCCAGACAGCGCTCGCCCAGCCAGCTCCCCACCCACACACCTCCCCACCTCCCACCCGACTCATCTACGCTACCCACCCAGCCACCCAGCCCCGTCCACTGCCTGTCCACTCCTTACCCATCCTTTGTTCACTCAGCCCCTCACTTACCTGCCCATCCATGCAGCCCCTCGCCCAGGCACCACCCACGCCACACATCCAGCCACCCAGTTCCCATGAAGGTACCCACCACCCACCCATCAATACCCATTGGCACGTCCTTCCACCACCTCCAACCCATCGGTCCACCAGCCAGCGTCCGCCATGCAAACCTGCAGCCATTTCCCCCCCCCGCCCCCCCCCTCTGTCCTCACACCACGCCCCTGTGCCAGCCCAGCACCGGACACTGAGCCTCAGGTCCCACCTCCTGCGGTCCCACCACACGGCGGTCAGGCCCAGCCCCTGCAGGGCCGCCATGATCACATTGATGTCATAGTTGCCGGTGCCCAGGAAGCTGCGGTGGGGGTTCAGCCGGCAGTCCGGGGCCAACCTGGGGGGGGGGGTGTCAGAGACTGAGCTGGGCCCCTAGGAAGGTCTCCCCCTCCCCACAAAGCGTGAGAGCCCCAGGGTCTGCCAGTCACCAGCATCGGAGTTCTTCCCCCATCCCTCCTGCCCCCCCATCTGCCTCCCTCCCCTCTATCTGCCTCCCTCCCCTCTATCTGCCTCCCCCCCATCTGCCTCCCTCCCCTCTATCTGCCTCCCTCCCCTCTATCTGCCTCCCTCCCCCCCATCTGCCTCCCTCCCCTCTATCTGCCTCCCTCCCCTCTCTATCTGCCTCCCTCCCCTCTCTATCTGCCTCCCTCCCCTCTATCTGCCTCCCTCCCCTCTATCTGCCTCCCTCCCCTCTATCTGCCTCCCTCCCCCCCCATCTGCCTCCCTCCCCTCTATCTGCCTCCCTCCCCTCTATCTGCCTCCCTCCCCTCTATCTGCCTCCCTCCCCTCTATCTGCCTCCCTCCCCTCTATCTGCCTCCCTTCCCCCCCCTCCTCCAGCTACACCTCCCTTCTGAGCCCTTGTCTTCCTCTGCCTGGACCCTCAGCCCGCCCTGTCACTGCCCCTGCCGCCCCCCTCCCCCCAAGCCGCCCTGGTGCGCCATCACCAGGATGGAGGCCCAGGCCCCGGTGGCCGCCTAGCCTGGGTCCCCTCCCCCGTTTCCCAGCCACAGCTCTTGTGCCCCTGCCCCCAGCCTCCCCTCTCCCCTCTCCCCTCCCCTCGGAGGCCCCCCAGCCTGTTGTCTCTCTGAGCCCCCCACTCTGAACACCTTTGTCCTCTCTCTGGCCCTTGGTGGGCAGGGCAGGGCAGGGCAGAGAGGGGCAAATGTGTGTGGCATTTTCCTGTGTGTTTCCCTGACCCGGACTCTGGGTCTCCGGCCAGGCCAGGCCGTGCGTGAGAGCGCTGGCCGCCCCGTTCTGGAGGCCGCGGGGAGGGCCTGGGGGACGAAGGGGCCTGAGCTGGGGCCAGGGGTGTGTGTGTGTGTGGTGGGGGAGGGGGCTTGAAGCAGAGACACAATAAAGAAGCGTTTGAAATCTTGCACAGTGAGGAGGAACATTCTAGGCTGCTAAGATGAACAGGCCACGCCAAGGCCCAGAGGCCTCCAGGAGAGGGACGGGTTTTGGGGAGCAGTGAGACCTGAAGCTGCAGAGCACGCAGGGCCTGGGGGCTGCTCCCAGGGGTGCTGGGGAGCCAGGGGAGGGGCGGGGGCAGCGCTGGGGCGTGTGCAGGTGGATCGGAGGGGGAAAACCAGAAGCTGGGGCCAGAGGGGAATGGGGCCCAGGGCCCAGACAGGCCAGGGGAGGGGGTAAAGGCCCAGAGGAGGGAGGGCGAGGCCTGAGGGGGGAGCCCTGCGGATGGACGGGTGCAGAGGGCCGCAGGTCCGTCTCCCGGTCCGGGGCCGGCCCAGCGCGGGGTGCGGGCTCTGCCCCGGGCGGTGGTCCCGGGGGGGGCGGGTGAGGTCACCTCTTGCAGATCTCATCGGCAGCCTCCTGGCTAAAGAGCCGCTGCTGCAGGACGTTGTTGAGGGCGTGGATGGCACACAGCTCCAGGCGCTGCCGCTCGTGGTACACAGAGGGTTTCGGCTGAGCTCCTGAGCCCTGGGACATGCCGCCCTTCACTCCTGCGAGGGGGGCGCAGGAGAAGGTGCTCAGGAGACGGACCGGGAGCTGGAGGCCCAACCTGTCAGCAGGCTCCGGAAGCACCACCATTTACCACTGCGGCGGGGGCTGGGTGCAGTCTGAGGGAAGGGGGGGGGCCTGGCCCTGCTCCCCGGCCCCCCTCCCGGCAACAGGGCCCCCCCACCCGCCATCCCGAAGCAAAAAGGCCCCCTTTTCTGCTCCCCCAGCAACAAAGGAACCCCCCTCCCGTCTGTAGGTGACAGGATCCCACCCTGGTTACCTAGCAACAGAGAGCCCCCCACCCCATTAGATAACAAGTCTCTCCTTTAGTTACTTAGCAACAGAGGGATCCTTCTCCAGTCTCTAGGTAACAGGGTCTCTTTTGGTCGCTTAGCAACGGACGACTCCCCTCCCATCTCTAAGCAGCAGGGTTTTCTCTCGCAGTTGGCACCCGGCAGCAGAGCCCCTTCCCCAACCCACACCCCAGCCGCGGCGCTTGCCCGTTGCCAAGCAACGCCCCTCACCCCGCCTGCTCTCTGCTCCCCGGAACCAGAGGCTCCCGCATCCCCGTGGGCAGCGACGCTGGGCTGCGAGAGTGCGGAGCCGGAAGCTCGGCGCTGACTGGGCAGGCGGCGCGGACTACAGCTCCCGGCGCCCCCGCGGTCCAGACTACAACTCCCGGCGGCCTCCGCGAGGAACGTCTGGGCGGCGTGGCCCGGAAGTCCTCTCTGCCTCCGAGATCGTGGGAGGGCAACTTCCGCCACTCTCGGCGGTGAACCGCGGTTAGTGCGCTCTCTGCAGAGGCCCTCGCTTCCGCTCCCCCCCCCCCTGCCGCTCAGAGGATTCTGGGACATGTAGTAACTAGGTTCTCGCGATGGCTACCCGGCTGGTTGCTCCCCGCCGAGCCCGCCCCCTGAGGTGGCCTGATGCCCCGTGTGCAGACGCAGCGTGACGTCACAGAAGACTAACCAGCCTGCGCAACTTTACTGAGACAGGAGAGGGGGGGTCCGGGGAAACTGAGGCCAGGGCAGCGGCCGCATGGCGGCGCGGGGGGAGGGAAATGAGATGAGGATGTCCTGGGGAGGAGACGTCTCAGCAGATGTGGATCCCGGGCCTGGAGGGGAGCTGGCAGCAGCCTGCGGGGAGATAACGGGGATGAGCCACACACCTGGAGGAAGGAACAGAGGGGCACACCGGGGTGGGGGTGGGGGTGGGGGGAGACACACACAGACCCCGGGAGAGCGTCCAGAGATGGGGAGAGGAGGGAAAGGGTTCAAAGCCTGGCCTAGGTGGCCAAGGAATAAAGGTCAGCCAACAGAGACAGAAGCAGAACTGCGGAGCACAGGGCCCGGGGCCGGGGGCCGGGGCCACTGACGCTGCAGGCCTGGCCGTACCCAGCAGGCTGCGCCAGAAGGCAGTGACCGTGGCAGAGCCCGTGACGGCGCCGGGCGCGGCGGGGTTCTCTCTGTGGGTGTGCACAGCGAAGCTTTGTCCCGTGGGGCCTGGGGGTCCCCGCAGCTCCACGTCCACCACGTGCATGTCCGTGAGGCTGCGGCGAGCAGGGTGGTCAGTGTGTCTGTCTGGCCGGCCCCAGTCCATCCCCCAGGGGCTCCGCGCGTCTCACCTGAGGTCCGCCACAAGCACCCCGATCACGCGGTCGAAACCCAGGCTGGGGGCCGCCAGGGCGGCGGCTGCCATGGTGTTGGAGTTGCGGGGGGCAAAGGGGCAGAGCCCGCGGACGGGGCCTTCGTAGAGCACAGTGCGAGGCCCGGTGCTCCGAGCTGCAGCCAGGGGTCCCTCCAGCCGGAAGCCATCGGGATGGGTAGCCATAGTGACACGGAGGCTCTGGAAGTGACAGCCAGGGTCAGGGGGGCCGGGGGAGTCTGTGCAAAGCCCCACCTCTTCCTGGGGACCCCCACAGGCCCTCACCTGGAGGCCCCCGGCCGAGTCCAATCTGCTGATGTCCTCCGTGCCCCACAGGGCCCCCCGGGCCACGAACACCGCGTGGTTCCAGCGTTTTGAGGCCTCCAGGAGCTGCCGCTCTGTGGCCTGGTCAGCCAGGGCTGAGGGGGACCCCACCTGGGGTGGGTGAAGGTGCGTGGGCAGAGGTCAGGGGACCCCATCCCACTTTGGGGTGGGGTGGGGCCAAGGAGGAAGGCGCAGGGCTCACCAGGAGATTGGCATGGCGCAGGATCTGCGCCCCAGATTCCTGGATGATTTTGGGGTGGGCCACTTCCACCACAAGGTCAGGGTGCCTAGGAGAGGGGGGAGAGGGGAAGGGCCTTGGAGAGAGAGTAGGTCTCCCCCCCCCCCCCAGATTTCCTCAGTCTGTAGTGGCCTGTCCCTCTCCACTCGGCCTGGGAGGGGAAACGGGATGGGCGGGCTTGTCCCAGCTCATACTTGGGTGACGCAAGGCCCAGAGAGGGCGGGGGCCTTGCCTGAGGTCACACAGAAGCTCAGGGAGCCCCGCTCTCTCAGGGCAAAGGCCACTGACCTCTCCCCAAGGTCGCTGAGGTCCTGCAGCTGCAGGGAGGGGGGCACTTTCCCCACCAGGCGTCCCGGGTCCCGATTCCAGACAAAGACCAGTTCGAGGCCCAGTTCCGGCCCCTGAGTCAGCAGGTGGGAGACCAGGGACTGTCCTGGGAGGAGGGAGAGAGACTCAGAGCACAGGGGACGAAGGCCCAGGGGGAGGGGGACGGAGGCCCAGGGGGAGGGGGAAGGGGACCCAGGGGGAGGGGGACGGGGACCCAGGGGGAGGGGGACGGAGACCCAGGGGGAGGGGGACGGAGGCCCAGGGGGAGGGGGACGGAGGCCCAGGGGGAGGGGGACGGGGACCCAGGGGGAGGGGGACGGAGGCCCAGGGGGAGGGGGACGGAGGCCCAGGGGGAGGGGGACGGGGGCCCAGGGGGAGGGGGAGGGGGACCCAGGGGGAGGGGGACGGAGACCCAGGGGGAGGGGGACGGAGGCCCAGGGGGAGGGGGACGGGGGCCCAGGGGGGGGGGGGAGGGGGACCCAGGGGGAGGGGACGGGGACCCAGGGGGAGGGGGAGGGGACCCAGGGGGAGGGGGACGGGGACCCAGGGGGAGGGGACGGGGACCCAGGGGGAGGGAGACAGACCCCACGGTGGGGAGTAGAGGCCACTCAGGCAGCCAGTCAGCCAGGGCGCAGACACCGACATGGGTGACAGGTGCGTTTGTGGGGACACAGGGCTTGGGGGGCTTCAGGGAGGGGCCTGGGGAAGAGCCCCAGATGGCCAGGGACTCACCGAGACGGCCATAGCCCACCACCCCCACCCTCCGCGGGACCCTGTCCAGGGCCATGTCCTCGCGTCTGGTGGTCTGGCCTGCGGTCCGAGCTCCGTCCGCTGCTGGCTGCCCGCCCCGCGCGCGCGCGCACAAACACACACACACACACACACACACACACACGAGGTCTGGGCAGCCGCTGATCTTTGGACATTTGACCCTTGAGCCTCTCCCAAGCCGTCCCCCTTCCCCGCAGCCCAGCGGTGAGGGTGCCAGTTTGCTGGGCGGAGGCGGGGTGACGGTCCTCGGGGCGTGGGGGGTGTGTGGCATGGTGATCTGGGGCTCCAGGGGCCCTGCGTGGCCCCCACCGTGTGGGCCAGTTGCTTCCCTGCATCCTCCCTCCTCCCTTGCTGCTGATGTGGAAAATTTCCTCTGCAGTCCCCCGCCCCCTTTTCTGGCCGGCCAGGTTGTCATGGAAACTGCATCCTGCTTGGGGTGGGGGTGGAGTTTGGGAGCAGGGAGGAGAGATGGTGACGGGGACTGGGGCTCTCAGTCTGTGCCCTGGCTCCTGCGTTTCCAATGCCCCCTCCCCCAGCCCCCCGCGGGCACTCCCCCCACAGGCCTTGGCAAACGTTCCTCCATTTGGGTCTCTCTGATCCCTCTGCTCCGTCCCTGCCGCCCTGGACCTCCATCTTTCCAGCCCCACCCCCATCCCACCTGGGCTGGCCGCCATTCTGTCCCCCGCCAGGCCAGGCCCTCATCTCCCCTCTGAAGGTCTGGAGGCCTGGCCTCGCCTGGCCGTTCCTCGTCTCCCCACAAGGGGGCGGGATGGAGTCGGCTACCCCAGCTCGGGCCCGGACCTCCCTCAGTTCGCCTTGACTTGGGACCCTTCCTCCTCCTCCTCCTCCCCGGCCACCAGGCCAGCAGCACCCCCTCCCAGTGTTGTGTTCTCACCCCCACACAGTCCCTCCCTCCCTCCCCACGTCCCCTCGGTCGCCCCCCCCCCCCCCCATGAGCCGCCCCAGCCAGCGCGCCTGGGGTGCCTGGCATCGGAAATGGCGGCGCTCTGCAGCAGCGCGGCTCCCTGCCCCCAGCCGCCACCTGGTACCCGCCGCAGCGTTGCCATGGCAACCAGGATGGCTCTGAAAGAGGACGAGGGAGAAAGAGAGCATGAAAGAGGGAGCGAGGGAGAGTCCCGAGCAGACAGGCGCAGGCAGGAAAGGGCCCGAGTCCCAGCCATGGCTGCCGCTGCCTCTGTCCGCGAGGGAGGAAGATGCTTTAGGAGGGACTGCTGTGGGCCCCCACCTCTGTCCTCCCCTCCGGGGGCCTGGGGGCCTTCACAGCACCCAGCCCTGCTGGGTATGGGGCCAGGCTAGGCTGAGGGGAGGGGGCAGAGAGGGCTGAGACCAGGCCTGCTCCCGGGGCCCGGCCCTGCGTATGCGTGGCCGAACCTCCTCCTGAGTGGACCCGCCTCTGTCTGGCTACAGCTCGCATGGCCGCCCCAGGCGCCCAGGCCTCTGGAGGCTCAAACCTTGGCCTCCCTGCTCCCACCACCTGCTGCTAGCTCCGGGGGTGGGTGGGCTCTGCATGCGGCCCCTGCCCTGAGGGCCAGTGCAGCCCCCCCTCACCCCCAGGCCTGGACCCCCTTCCTCCGGCCTCTGCACTTACAAGACAATGTCAGCCCTGGCTGGGTTGGCTCAGAGGATAGATCATCAGCCTGTGGACTGAAGGGTCCCAGGTTCGATTCCGGTCAAGGGCACCTGCCTGGGTTGCGGGCTTGATCCTCAGTAGTGGACGTGCGGGAGGCAGCCAATCAATGATTCTTCTCATCATTGATGTTTCTAGCTCTCTCTCCCTCCCCCTTCCTCTCTGAAATCAATGAAGAGATATTAAAAAAAAAAAAAAAAGACAATATGCGGCTCCCTTCGTCCAGCGGCCACAGGGAGCGCCCCTGGCCCCCAGGTCACCCCTTCGCAGGGACCCGCTTTGCTGGGCAGCCTGTGACCCGTGTGCAGAGGACGGGCGCTCGGGCTCAGCTCTGTGACGGCTGGAATGTGCCCCCTCCCTCCCCCCCTTTAAGACAGGACCTGCGAGGGTGACCTGATGTGGACACAGTCCTTGTGGATGGGCCAGCGAGGCGAGGCTGGGGAGGAAGGGACCTCACCCAGCATGGCCAGCGCCCTAATGAAAAGGGGGAGCGGTGTGGCTCAGTGGGTAGAGCATCGGTCTGCAGACTCGAGGGTCCCAGGTTCGATTCCGGTCAAGGGCACGTACCTAGGTTTCGGGCACATCCCCAGTGGGGAGTGTGCAGGAGGCAGCTGATGGATGCTTCTAATTCTCTATCCCTCTCCCTCTCTATAAAAAAATCAATAAAAAATATTTTTTTTAAAAAAGCGGGGGGAGCGGGGACACAGAGGCCGGCGTGCTCAGAGGGACAGCGACAACGTGGAGACGCAGGGGGGTGTGGGTAAAGCTGCTGCCAGCCGGGGACCATCTGGGGTCACCAGCCAGGCCCCCCACCCCTCCTCCCGGATCTCCGTTTTTATGGCAGCCCCAGGAAACTACTTCGGCCCCTCCGTTTCTGCTGAGAGGCGGGGGGCGGAGCGAGCACCCCAAGACCTGCCTCAGAAGGGCTGCAGGGAGGTGAATACTAGTGCCAGGCGATGGGGCTCCCCCTGGGGCCTCCAGGGTCAAGGGTGAAGGGTCACAACCCCCTGCAGGCCCCGTGACACCCTCTCCTTCAGCTCCCCATCCACACTCACTGCGTTCTCTCCGTGTTCCATGCTTTCATGACCCAAAAAATATTTTTTTACTTTTTCCGTGTTTTTTTTTTTTTTTTAAAGTAATTACAGAGCAGGTAGTCGTTGCCGCAAACCTCCCTTCAGTATCAAAAGAGTCTGTGTGTGTGTGTGTGTGTGTGTTGGGGGTGTGAGCGCTGGGGCGCCCCCCCAGCTCAGGGTCCCGGGGGGCCGGGTGGGCGCGGGAGGGGGCGGGCCAGGGTGTCTGGAGGCGCCGGCGACCACGTGTCTGTCTGTCTCTTCCGTTTGGAGGGGGGATGGGTGGGAAGGGGGGGCGGGCAGGCGTCAAACTGCAAAAAAAAGAATCTTAAAAGGGGGGCTGTCGGGGGACGAGGGGGAAGACGCCCCTCAAAAAAGCTGCCCTCCTCTCCCCTGGGGAGGTGGAGGGCGGGGCGGCGGGCGGGGGGAGCCGTGGGGAGAAGCGGGGCGCGCGGAGGACTGGGTGCCCTGGCCGCTTAGGAGTCCTGCGCCCCCTCCAGTCCCCGGGGATGGACGGGGGCGAGGCCGGAACCGCGGGCTCCGCGCCCGGGGCCCACCCTGTCCTCGCTGGGCCAGCCGCCCCCGGGGTCCGCGGGCAAAGGCTCCGAGCCCCGAGTTCCCGGACCGACCGACCGACCGACCGACCCTCCGTCCCCAGCGCATGTCCGAGGGGCTGGGGCTGCGGGGAGGGTCTCCGATCGCCCAGGGGCAGAGCCAGATCGGCGCGCCCCACCCCGCGGGGTCCCCCCCGCGTCAGATCTGCGTCTCCTGCACGTTCTCCTTGGAGCCGCTCTTGAAGAGCAGAGGTTCGTGGATGGAGTTGAGGCCGGGCGGGCCCTTGCCGCCGCCGCAGCCGCCGCCGCCGGGGTTGGCGCCGCCGCCGTAGTGCGCCTTGAAGGCGGCCGCCACGTAGCGGTGGTGGGCGAGGTGGTCGCGCTCCAGGGCGGGCAGGGCCAGGTGGCTGTCCCCGCCGCCGCCCGCGCCGCCCGCGCCCCCCGCCGCGGCCACGGACACGGCCGAGGCGGCGGGCAGCTCGTCCTCCACGTTGATGATCTCCACCGTGCGCGTGGGGCCGTGGTGCTTGTGGAGCTGGTGCTGCTTGCGCAGCTTGTAGAAGGCCACGAGCATGACGGCGGCCATGAACGTGATGGCCACGAAGCAGCCGATGATGATCTTGGTGGTCTTCATCACGTCGTCCAGGTCCTTGAGCGCGTTCTCCGTCACGTCCGTGATGGGCACGGTGAACGCCTTCTCCGTGGGCCGCGAGGAGCGCGGCGCGGGCGCCGTGGTGGAGGACGCGGAGGCCGAGGCCGAGGCCGCGCCGCCCGCCGCCGCCTCCCCGGGCCGGCCCCCGCCCCACGCGCCGTCCGTCGTGGGCCCGGGGGGCTCCTTGTCCGCCCCCCGCGTCTGCAGGGCCTCCTCGCCGCCGCCGCCGCCGCCGCCGCCGGGCTGCGACTCCAGCGTCTCCACGGTCACCGTGGTGAAGTAGGTGTAGGCGCCGCCGCTGCCCCCGCCCCCGGGGCCGCCCCCGGGGCCGGGACCGCCGCCCCCGGCTGCCCCTCCGGCCGCCACCGGGTCCACGGCCGAGACGTTGAGCGTGGCCGAGGCGGTGGTGTTGCCCGCCGAGTTCGTCACCATGCACGTGTACTGGCCCGTGTCCTGCACCGTGACGTTGGTGAAGTTGAGCGTGCCGTCGTGCAGCACAGAGATGCGCACCCGGTAGGAGCCGTGCGTCATGAGGGTGCCGTTGGGCGTGAGCCAGTTGACCGAGGTCATGGAGGTGCCCGTGCGGCACTTGAGCTCGGCCGCCATGCCCTCCGTGACGTTGAGGTCCGTGGGCGGCTCCACGATGACGGGCGCGTAGCAGGTGAAGTGCGACTGGTCCAGCTCGCCGATGTAGCGCCCCTTGAGGCCGGCGGGCGCGTGGCAGCGCGCGCAGCACGTGGTGTTGCTGGGCACCGTCTCCTTGAGCCACCAGCTGAGCCACAGCACGTCGCAGTTGCAGTGCCAGGGGTTGTGGTTGAGGTGCACGCGCTCGAGGCGGTGCAGGGGCGTGAAGAGGTCGTGGGGCAGCGACATGAGGTTGTTGTGGGACAGGTTGAGCTCCTCCAGCGACTTGAGGTCGTCGAAGGCGTTGCGCTCGATGGTGGCCACCTGGGCGTGCATGAGCCACAGCTTGCGCAGGCTCGTGAGGCCCTGGAAGGAGCCCGGGCGGATCAGGTCCAGCCGGTTGCCCGACAGCTCCAGCTCCTCCAGCCGCACCAGCGCCGTCAGGTTGGGGATGTCCTTGAGGTTGCACATGCCCAGGTTGAGGTAGCGCAGGTTGACCAGGCCCTCGAAGGCCGCCTCCGAGATGTACTCCAGCCGCTT